GTGTGAGCCCACCCAGCCAATAGCAGCGCGCCCCGCCCCGAATCAACCAATTCCCGCGCCGCACCTTGCCGATCTAACCAATCACCGTGCTTCTCCCCTCAGCAACACCCGCCTTCCTCTCGCCGCTGCAGCCAATCAGAGGCGAACCGGAGGCGGCGCCCCCTCTTCTGGCGGCCCCGGGGCTCCCCGGGCTCGGGCGGGTCCTGCGGGAAGCGCTGGGAGAGGCCGGAGCTGCGGGAGCTGCTGAGGGGCCGGGACAGGTGGGGGAATGGGGGATGAGGGTCCTAAGAGGGGATCGTGGGGGAGGGGTCTTGGGAAGGGTCTGGGGAGTGTTATGGGTAATAGACATAATTTGCGCCTTTCCTTATATGGAATATATAATATTAAATACTTGTTAGATTTACCTCGTTTGTACTAGCCTCCCCCCCCCCCCCCCCCGAGACCAGGTGTATGTTAAGAAGCTAATTTACAAGTGAGAAGATACAGCTAGCCAGACGCCAGACGATGGGCCATGGCGCTGATCATCGCGTGAACGACCCGAGATGGATATCTCTAAAATCCCCAGACAGATCCATGTGGATTCAACAAACTCCAGACACTGAATTATTAACATATAGACTCTGAATAGAAGAAAAGACTGATTACAAAAATCTTGGCCTCAGGCGGAATTATCCCTATAAAACTTGCTTCTGCCAGGATGGAAGTGTGTGGGCATAGAGGAAAACCTCTGCTGAGGCTGACCTCTTTGTTGCACACCCAGGGCCGACCCCGGGCTCGGCTCTGTTCTTTCCTTGTGGCTGGCTAGATAAAATTTGATTGTAAAATAAATATTTTATTTTTCATATTAATTTGGCTGGGCAAATTTTCATTTATAACAGGAGTTTCAGGGGACATCCTGGGCTGGGCCCGATTGGGATCTGGGGGCTCTGAAGGGGGTCCTGGGGGTATCAGGGGGTTCGGGGGGGATCTGGAGCTCCTGTGGGGGTTTTGGGGGTCCAGGGTGATCCTGGGCCAACGTTGAGTGGGGCTCTGGGGGGGTTTGGGGTTTCTGGAAGAAGTCTGGGGAGATTTGGGGTCCCGGGGAGTCCTAGGCCCAGCCTGCACCGGGGTCTGGGGGTTTCGGCGGGAGGGGACACAACAGGGGCTCCCTGTTTTTTGGGGGTCTCTAATGGTGCCCCCTCCCCAAAAAGCTCGGAGGGCCCCCTGACGTGGCTCCTGTTTCACCGGCCGTGCCCGCTGATCCAGGACAGCTCCCAGTGAGTCTGGGAGGTTCTGGGAGGACTTTTGGGAGGTCTGTAGAGATTTTGGTTTGTTTTTTTTTTTTTTTTTAGATTTGGGGGAATTTTTGGGAAGTTTAGGGGGAATTATTGGGTTTTGGAGAGAATTATAGGGGTGGTTTTGTGGATTTGGGGGATGTTGGCATTTTTTATTGGTGTTTTGGAAATGGTGTTGGTTTTTTTTTTGTTTATTGCGGGGGTGTTTATTGGCATTTTTGGGAGTTTTTTAAAATTTTTGTTTTAGGGGGGAGTTTCCACTGGGATTTTGTGGGATTCTCTGAGACTTTGGAGGGTTTTGTTTGAATTTTTGGAGGTTTTACTGGAATTATAGGGGGCTTTGGGGTTGTCCCCTGGTGTGGCGAAGAGAGGAGAGGCAACAAAATCCCCCTATCACCCACGAAAGTCCCAATAAAACCCAGGAAATCCCAATTAAATCTCACAAATTCCAATTCGAACACCCTAAAATCAAAATAAAAGCCCACAAAATCTCTTGAAACATCAACAAACCCCCCAAAATCCCAAATAAACCCCACAAGTCCCCCAAAAATGTCTCCAAACTCACAAAAAGTCTCACAAAATCTCCCAAAGGCCCAAAGAAATTCTGGCAACACCCAAAAAACCCCCCAAAACTCCCCAAATCCAAACAAAAATCCCAAAATCCCACATATATTCCTAAAAATCCCAAATCCTCAAATAATACCAATAAATACGCTCAGAATTTGAATAAAATCCCCCCAAATCCATCAAAAATTCTTATAATACCCTCCAAAATTTCTGAGAACCACACAAAATCCCAGTAAACCCTTACAAAATTAAAAACAAAAAACGCAAAAATTTTCACTTAACCCCCAATCACCCCCTGAAAAATACTTGTCCCAAAGCACCAATAAAACACCCCAAGATCCACAGAATCCCCCAAAATCCTCCAACTCTCACAAAACCTAATATTCTATTAAAAAACCCCCAACAATTCCCCCTAAGCTCCCAACACAATTCCTCAAACCCAAAAGAGCCCCAAATGCCCCAAGCCCTCCTGCGCCTTCCCTGGTCCCTCCCGGAGCTGATCCCTGGCTCAGGCTTGGTCTCAGCCCCTTTGGGGGATTTTGGGCCAAACTGTGCAGGTAGGGAGTGGCTTTCAGATCCCTTTCGGGGATTCCAAGCCTTTTCGGGTGGATTTTTGGCCCCTTTGGCTGATTTTAGGCTGAATCTGGTTTAGGGGGGGATTTTTGATCCCGTTGGATTATTTTAGACCCATGTGGGTTGCGTTTGGGCACCTTTGGGTGATTTTAGGACAAACTGGGCCCATATAGGTGAATCTTAGTCCTGTGTGGGTGATTTTAGGTCCCTTATTTTTGTGATTTTGGGCCTATTTGAGTAGGTTTTCAGCTTCTTTGGGGAATTTTATGTGAAACCACTCCTTTTTAGGGTGATTTTAGGCCTTCTTGTGCTGGTTTCAGGCACGTTTGGGTGATTTCAGGTACCTTTGGGTGATTGTAGGTGAAACCAGGTACTTTCAGGGTGGATTTTAGGTGCTTTTGAGAGATTTATGGGTGATTTTTAAGCCACTTTGTGTGGCTTTTAAAACACAATTGTGGGGCAATTTTAGGCCATTTTGGTTGGATTTTAGATCTCTTTGGATCATTTTAATCCCACTTGGCTAATTTTCCCCTCACGGTTCAGCCTTCGGGAATGGGGGAGAAGGAGGAGGGAGGGAGGAAGAGGCGCAGCGGCAGAAGGGAGCAGCAGAAGAAGAGGAGAGCAGGAATCGCATGGCCCTGGCACTGCCTGAAGTTGTTGCCACCCTGGGACCATTGCCCCCCATCCCGCAAGTGTCTGGGGAGGGCGAGCTCGGCCCAAATACCCTGGGGAGTGCCTGGGTTTGGGGCTTTTTGGGGAGAATGTTTGGAGCTCGCAGGGCTCCAAAACCGAGCCACAGATGGCCCTTGGGGTGACCTTGGGGGTACCTGGGAGGTGTTTTTGGGAGGTCGCAGGGCCGGGAGTGGCTGCTCCCACTATGAGCCCAGTTTGTGCCCCCATGTGCTTCCAGTTTCCTCGTCACTCCCAGTATGAGCCCAGTTGTTCCCAGTATGACCCTGGTCATTTCCCCTCACTCCCTGCAGGATCCCTGATGTTCCCAGTATGAACCGAGTCCCTCCCAGTCATTCCCTAAGATGATGCAATTTAACCCCAGCAAGGTCCTAGTTGCTCTGAGTTCCTCCCACTTTCATCCAGTGTGTTTCCAGTCCTAGTCACTCCCAGTATGATCCCGGTCTATCCCAGCAAGGCCCTAGTCTTCGTAGGCCCAGCGTGTTCCCAGTTTCCCCAGCACATTCCCAGTCATTCCCAGTCTGGTTCCAGTCACCACCCATGTGGTCTGAGACACTCCTAGTAGATCCCAGTTGCCCTGAACATTCTCATAGTCATTGCCAGGCACTCCCAGTACCTCAGTGTGGTTCACTTGCCCCCAGTTTTATCCCAGCTGATCTCAGTTCCTTTAATTATGTCCCCAGCTGGCTCCCAGCATGGGCCTGGTAGCTCCCAGTAACCCCCAGTCAGGGTCCAATGACACTCACGCTAATCCCAGTATGATTGTAGCCACTCCCAGTATGACCCCAGTCACTCCCAGTCGAATGCCAGTGGCCCCCAGTGTGGTCCCAGTTGCTCCCTGTCAATGCCAGCATGACCCCAGTAGCCTCCAGTATGATGCCAGTATCTCTCTGTCTCTCCCAGTTTATCCCACTCACTCCCACTTTCTCCCAGTTGCTTTCAGCACAATTCCAGTTGCTCGCAACCAGTCCCACTCAATCCCAGTATGATTCCAGTCACCCTCTATGTGATCCCAGTCTGACCCAGCATGATCCCAGTTGTTCCCAGGCATAGTCCTAGTTGTTCCCAGTTCCTCGCATTATGATCCCAGTTGCCCCTTGAATCGTCCCAGTCCCTCTCAGCAGGGTCCCAGTCATGCCCAGTTTCCCCAGCATAGGTTGACTGTCCACAAGTGTTGACCCCAGCCTGCTGCCAGCTTTTCCCAGTGTGGTTCCAGTCCCCCCAGTATGGTTACAGACACTCCCAGTATATTCCAGTTGCCTGGGTAAGGTTCTAGTTACCTCAGAATGATCCCAGTCTTTCCCAGTTGCCTCTAGCAACTCAGTTCCAGTTTCTGTCTCTTGCCCACATTGTGGTCCCAGTTGCTCCCAGTATGATCGGTGTTGCCTCAGTTGTGGTCTCAAGTCCTCTCAGCATGGTTCCAGTACCTTCTAGCTGATCCCAGTTGCTCCCAATGTGTCCACATTTTCCTCCCAACATGGGCCCAATAGCTTCCAGTAACTCCCAGTCAGGTTCCATTCACACCCAGTCTAATCCCAGTATGAGTGTAGCCAGTGCCAGTATGATCGCAGTCACTTGAAGTCTAATTCCAGTTGCTCCCAGCATGGGCCCAGCTGTTCCCAGTGTGGTTCCATCACTCCACTATGGTTACAGACATTCCCAGTGTGGTCCTAATTGAATCCAGTTTCCCCTAGTGTGGTCCCAGTTCTCCCCAGCATGGTGTCCATAGTTCCCAGTGTAGTTCCAGTCACCCCAGTATGGTTACAGACCCTCCTAGTATATCCCAGTTCCCCCCAGCATGTCTGTGGTCCTTTCCAGACACTGCCAGTGGTCCCAGGAAGGTGTTAGTTATCCCCGTATGATCCACTGCTCATGCCCAGAATATCCCAGTTGCCTCTAGCTTGCATCCAGTCCTTCCTAGTTCCTCCAATTTGCTTGCAGCATGATCCCAGTTCCTCTCAGCTGCTCTCAGTAAGCCAAAGTGGAATCCCAGTTGCTCCCTTTCAATCCCAGTATGATCCCAGTATGTTCCAGTTTGAGCCTAGTCACATGCCAGTACTCCCAGTGTGGTGCCAGTATAATCCCAGTTACTTCCAGTCTCTCCCAGTATGGATCCAACTGCCTCCAGCATGGTTCCAGTTGCTTCCTAGATCAAGCCAGTCAGTCCCAGTATGATTCCATTTGCTCGCAGTGTGCTTCCAGTTGCTCCCAGTCACCCCTAGTATGGGGGATGATGTGCAGGGTGTGTTCCCAGTCGCTCTCAGATACTCCCAGTATTAGTCCAGTCACTCCCAATATGATCCAAATATGACCCCACTGCGCTCCCAGTCACTGCCAGTATGAACCAGTTGTGCTCCACATGGGTCCAGTTGCTCTCTTTCACCCTCACTTTCATTCCAGTCACTCCCAGTATCTCCCAGTGTACCCCATTTCCCTCCAGATTGTTTCCAGTCACTCCCAGTTCCTTCCAGGATGATCCCATTTGCTCACAGCCACTCCCAGTCAGCCTCAGTGTAGTCGCACTCA